GAATGCCAATGTCTACATTGATCTTGTATGAAGCAGAAGAGATATATTTCAGTTGTTAAGAAAGGCAGGAAATTTTCAGTTGTATGATAAGTTATAGTATTTTTAGGAACTGCAAGTGCCTACTTTAAGTGATGTAGTACTAAAAATATTCGTATGTTTTCTTTACAGGAACTGAATTTCAAATATGTTAGTAGAGGATAAACAGGTGTTTTTTTCCACCTTCTACTGCTTTTCCAGATAACTGCAGATTTGAAAAGGGCATGAAATCTGAGCCTTATTCAGGTTCCCTCTCTTCTGTCTGAGACTTTCTTCTGTTTTCACTCTTGTTTCTGCCATCAAATAGTACTCAGCTTCTAGGACCATCTTCTTTATGAGAGCATGATGTTTCTGTAATTATCCTTAAAATTTGTAACTAAGCTTGGCTTTACTCCAAATTTTCCATTATTCTTGTCCGTTCAGACTGTACTTTCTTGTAGATTCTCATTCGTGGATCTGTTCCTCCTGTGCCCTGATATGTTGTGCCGCAGTAATCTTCTTTTGCCTTGCTGCTTCTTACAGACTTCAGATTATAATAAAGTGTAGTGGCAATTTAGTTGTCTACGCTCTTTGGGAGCTCTGTACCTGCATGAAATGAACCCAGTAAATAGGTTTCCTCACCTCTGTCATCAGTTGTCACTTTCTCCTTACTCGGATTCTTCCCTCTGGCCCACTATGCTGAACTATGGTTCTGCTGCTCTCGTACTGCTCTCCATTTCTTTCTTTAGCTTAGGTGTTTGCCCCTTTCTGCCATTGCTCTTGGTATCGATGGAAGGATGTTTGAGACTCCAGAAGAAAGTGTCATGTTTAAGCTAGGGGCACTTCTACACAACACTATTTTCATGAAGCTGAAACAGATGGATGTTTCCCATTGGCACAGAATGAGGGCACTGAGCCAGAATGGAAGAATGCAGTAAGACTTTACAACCAGAGCGGAGGTGGAATGGACAAAGAGTCTGAAATACATCCTTACACTGAACTGGAGAGTATATAACTGCCCAGTTATTATATGCGTCACCATGATTAGACAGGAGTTTTCATGTATGTATTCCAAACAGCCTGCTGAGTCCCTTTCTGTAGGAAAAGGCTGCTTTTCAGGCTAGGGCTTCCAGCACAGCATGGGGGAAGCTGGAGGATGGTTGAGGAGGTGCAAGTCAGAGAAAAGCAAGTTTGAAGTGAAGCCAAATTATTATGCACTTTGCAAGCATGCCATGACTTGGGAGACCAATGGATGGATGCTGGTGAAGAATATTAATTCTTACAGATTTAAAATTTAGGATCTGTGAAGAAACTATGAAAATGTTAACATGAAACAACCATGAAAACAACCCAAAGCAGTCTGAAGTGCATTAGAATTTTTCTGTGACAAATACCGTTTCTTCTCTGGCAATCAGAGGTTTTGTGCATCTTAAATGTTATTGTCAGAAAGTCATAATGTTAATTTTCTGTTTACTTGTGAGATACTTCCTCTAGTTTCATGGGTTTACAACCTTTTCTCATTTCAGCACGGCCATTATAACCAATGGAACCTCCTCCTTAAGGAAGTTCTACTCAGCATAAATAGAAATGCAGAGTCAAGACCTTTTGTCTGGATTGTGATCTTCACTTTATTGATCTTAGAATTAATGAGAGAATTAATCTCCAAAGACAATGCAGCATTTTTATTTTATAGCATAATAACAGTCCTCAGCATATGTAATGACTAATTTCTGTACTTTTATGTCACCAAACCTTTCCATTCTTCTTAAAAATCTATTTATTTCTTTTAAAATCTGTTTACGTATAACTGCCATCGGAAATTTGTTCTCCTTTTATAATGAACAGCATGAGATAGCAGAGAATGGTTACAAGACTTAATAGAAAATGTTGGAGGCAGAAGCATAATTTTTTGTTAGGTAGTCTCTAGGGCAGGGCCAAAGCCCAAGTTCTGTCCGTGTAGATGCTATATTGTTTTAAAAAAACATGGTAGACTTGACTGGAAACATGTATAAAAGATAAATGCTAGCAGATGTGTTTGTGCAGAGACAAATCTAGAGTCCTCCAGTGAACATTTGGGTGAATATAGACTTGTGAATGTATTTGTCCATTAATATAAAAAGATAGTTGCTGTTTGTTTTCTTGGTTTGGAGCTTTTGAAAAAAAGTATTATGATATATTCCATGACAGAAGGAAGTTGTTGTTGATGGCAGCAGAAGCTTGCAAGCATCCAGGGTTTGGCAGGTACTCCAGAAAAGCATACATTTTCTATCAGTTACTTTTACATTCAGTCCCCCAACCTGCAGCTATTTTATTTAGTGTTATTCTTGCATGTATCCACACGGAAACACAAGATTTTTAATCTGCATTTTCAGTACTCAAAATTTATTTCTAACATCTGCTGCTGATTTCCTCTTTATTATTTGTAATTATTAAATGTAATGCTTTTTGGGAAGCTGAAAATAAAATAGAGAAATTTTTTCCTAGAAGAAAGAGAAACCAACTTTAGGTAGATGTAATTTTTTCAGATACAAAAATAATGTTCATGAGTTGTTAATTAATTAATGTTCACTAATTTGTTGGTAACCATTTGTTAAAGCCTAGCTAACTCTTGTAGAGCTTTCCATGATCATAGTATGAACTAAGAACTCATTCGTTTGCTATAGCTATGTAGGAGATGCCCCGTTAGCCATGCTTTAGATGGTTTGTTGTGAGACAAATGAAGTAGGGGGAAAATACGACAGATGTACTGAACCCTGTGCTTTACAAATCCTCCTTGCAATGCAGATGTGTAATTGCAAGAGGCACAGTGTTTTTTAGAGACTGATGTGTTTCTGCATAGAAATAGATTGCTCTGCTAGTGTTCCAAGCTGGGCAGATGCAAGTTCTTACAGCCACATTAGGGCGATGTTGTCAAGCTACCATTTTCTTCTAAGCACAGGTTATTAGCTGAGGTACAGAGCTTGTGATAATGATGGCTACACGGCACGTGAATCAGAGATGTCTTTTGTCCCTTCAGTTCAGACCGCAGGCAGAGGAGTTTATGCCTCCTCACATGGGTCTGTGTTTTGCCGGAGTGGTGCCTGTCTTGTCAGTCAGTCAGTTCTGTATGCTGCGCGGAAATGGAAGGCGGCAGCAGGGTCTGGGGAACTGGCACTGGAGCTGGGAGGAGGAATCTGAATTCTGTTCCCCATTTTGATACTAACCTGCTGTGGGACCATAGGAAAGTAATTACATTTTTCTGCTTACTCTTGCAACCTTTGTCTCCCCTGTTTATGCACAGATTAGCTCTCCATACATCTCAGATTAGCTCTCCATACATCTCTTGAGTGCTCAGGCTGCACAGAAATCAGGAGGATAGCTGGACATTTCACAACAAAAGCTGCTGTTAAAAAACCCAACAAACTCAAACAACCCCCCCACCTCAAAACCAAAACTGGAGAGCTGTGAAAAGGACTGGTAAGGGATGGTCCCATCCCAGCCCTCTTGATCACCAATATCAGCTTGCCCACTATGTCTCTCTGATAAAAATCCAGTGTCTCTCCTTTCTCACAGCCCTTTATCTCTCTAAGTCCCTTCTCCTGCCATTTAACCACCACCACTTATTTCCAGTCTTCCCCCTATAACTCACTAAGTCTCAGATTCTCCAGGTTCTCTCTCTCAGTCTTGATCCTGTGTCTATTTTTTCTTTTATTTTCTTTTTTCCTTTCCTTTTTTTTTTTGAGGGGGGGCGTGTTTTGTAGTAGTAGCTGTTTTGCTGTCTTCTGGTTCCTAAGTCCCAGTCTTGTCCTTCTCCCTCCCATTCCTTCCCTGCATCCTTCCAAATCTTTGTAAGTGTCCAGTCTCCTCTCTGGATTTCAAGTCTTTTCATGTTAATTTTCCTCTTATTCTACTCAAAGTATATTACCCCCATTTCTTAGTTACAGCTTCTCTCTTCTACAAAATCTGTCCTTTTCCCTCAATTCTTCTACCCCCTCATACAAATCTGTCAGCTTCTTTGGTTTGTTCTGTTCCTTTCCTTGTTTCAAAGCCTTAGCTCTTCACTTTTGCATCTGGATTGAGAGCAGTGGAGGATCACTCACTGTACTAGGAAACCGCAACTGTATCACTGTGAACACTGGAGAAAAGGTTTCTGGTTCTAATGCCTAGCCTCAGCTTTATCTAGACCCGCTTGGAGCAACAATTGC